GCATAGTTAGCTGTAGGTTGTATGTCTTCATGCCTTAACTCATACTTTGCTGTCATCTTCAATAGCACAACAGTGATTGGAGGTTGAATATATCAATTTTTGTGTACTGTAGATCTACATGCATTAGTCAATATTTTTGTTGTCCTCGTGTCTAATTTGAGGTTGTATGTTACTCTTATTGTATAACAACAATAATGTTTCTCTTTTTGTCCAGGATGTGGTGGGAATCAAAGAATATGGTATGGATAAGCTCATCCAGATTGCGGCAACCCAACTTAGTGACCAACTTCCGGAATCAAGGGAGGCTGCTCGCAACCTGGCACTTGAACTACAAGTATTCTATGAGAAGTCTCAGGCCTCAACTTCTGACAAAGATGAGGGCGAGCATTCTACTTCACCAGATGCTGAATCATGGGAGGCTTTCTGCCAGTCCAAGCTCTCTGTGTTAAGCGCCCAAGCCATCCTTCGTGTGACCTCTACCACTACAAAAGAGGGTGTCACCTCTGCCCCAAAAGAAGCCTTGGCTGTGGGTTGCTAGCATAAGCCACAAGGAAAGACTGCAATTTTTCATCCCGTTCACTTTCTCGCTGTACATGCTTTTGGTTGGTCCTTCGTTACATCCAGTCGTGGAAAAAAAAATAATCATCGGTTCAGGAATTCAGGTGTGACCACGGTGTTAATATTGGCGTGAGATATATCCATTATAGTTGACTGTACAATCATTTCGTTCCCCTACTTGGTATTGATTGGTCAAGTGAATGTAGATTTTCTTCCATGGTTCAGTGTTATATAACAGTTTTTTTTTCTTTCGCTTCCGGTGATGGTTCTGTTATTTTGAAGGAAATGACATTTTTTGTTTTTTCAGAACTTGATGTTGATTCCTGTATCTGGTAGAGTAATCACCTACAGCATGTCCCTCACTTTGCTTTCTCCGTGAAATATCAAAGTGAGAACCCCTGGCGTTGATTTGACGCGAAGATACCTACGGCAGAGTATGCCACGTCCAAGTAATGACATTGGTATGCCGGTGCGCGTTGGTGGCCTGAGACTCGACATGGTTTTATCGTCTGGTTCTGCTGACAAAACTTGCCTCACCTCGCCTAGCGAGGAAGGCAACACGAAAACATGTTTGGATTATTTGTCCAGCTGCTTCAATAGCTGTGCAGGTAAGCTTTTCTTGCTAGATGAGGAGAGCCAGATTGGCTCATCAAGGTTAGCCTCGCCTGGCTAAGCAAGAAGCAAGGTTCGGCAAAACTTGCCCAGCATCCAGACGTGCCCACGTCTCTTGCCGCGTCTGTACGGGCATGTGTATTTTGCTAGCTTTGTCTTAATCAAACTATCTAAAACCAAACTAAATAGACATGCTATAAAAATATATTCTACAATTGAATATAATATACTTATTTTTGTAAACATTAGTATTTTTTCTATAATTTGATCTAACTTAACATGGATTTGATTTTTTTTGGAAGTTAGTTTGTTTATATGAACGCCGGCAACTCACGTGATGCTCGCATGAAAATTCGGAAAAGTGTTGCGATTTTGGAACCGGTAAAAGAATGATTTCCTTTTTCTTTCCGTTCGAGCTGACTCGACTAGTGCGATGAATAAAAGTTTTGACCTAACAAAATCTATTTTTTTTACTCTAACACAATTGTCGGTAGGCGCGGGCAAAAAATTGACTCAACGTTAGGTAGGAATCAAATTCTAGCATTAAACAAATATCGGGTTTTTTCTGGTTAACTGACGCTAGTGTATCCAGCTAGGATTATTTTAAGTTTTTTTTTAAAAAAATTTATATATAAAAATAAACTAATTCGTATGAATTTTATAAAAAATTATGGGTTCCAAATGAGTAGTAGGAGATTAGCCGTAACCTTGCAGTTCGTCCCAGGCATACCGCATACTCTGTCTCTCGGTTCTCGCGTGCCCCCCGGCACACTCCCTCTCTCTCGGTCGGTTCCTACTGTGCGGAATGGAGCACCCAAACCCAAGCTATGTATTGCATATATTATGCGTCTAATATATAAACTTTTTTTTTCGTTTTTTTCAAGAAAATGTTAGTTTTTTTTAGGGGGAGAAAATGTTAGGTGTACATGCGTACTCCAATGTTCTTGCCTTCTTGGGCTATTGTTATCACCAAAAAAAAATGTTCTTGGGCTGCAGTCATGCTCATGGTATGGTAATACCCTAGCCCAGCACAACAAAACTATATGTTGTAAAAAAAAACGTTTCAGTAGCACGACTGAGCCTGTTCGTCGAGTCCTCGACATCTCTCTGGCTTCGCGATGACAGCAGCACCAGTCGGGAATCGACGCCGGCGCGCCACCCCCATCCTAGCCGGCGGACTCCCTAGGCGGCTAGGCCCTAGCTCTCCACCTTCACATCCCCAGTCTTTGGGCCGCTTGCCCCGTCTTCAGCCATGCCGGCGCATCCCTAGTCCCCGTGCCGCCGTCTTCAGTCACGCCGGCGCGCTCCCAGCCCCGGCGTCGTTCGCTCTCCAGCCAGGGCGGCGGCAAGCCTGGTATGAACCGATAATCCTCTTCCTCTCCATTCTCTTCTTCCTTGCAAAATCTCTAACGCTAATTTTCTCTGATCTAATTTGATATTCTGATGTAGCTTTTAGATGTAGCCATCTAGGTAGCAGAATTGTAGAAATTAGCCATAATGTATTGGTTGATTACTTATGCGTATTTAATTTAAGACTTATTATGCTATTTACTATTTGTATACCGAATCGTGTGTCAATTTTTATGCTACTTCACCAAATTGCTAAATGATTTTTACTGATTTGGATATAAAAATTTTGGTCCGATATAGACTCTGTTTGGAAGAATGTTTATTGAGCTTCTGAACCCAATAAATAAATAATCCCGCACAAACACCGTGTGATCAGGGCCAAAAGCGAACGCGCTTCCGTGATCTCCGATCGCCCGCAACGTATCCGAAATCGCGAGCAAGACCCCGCTTTTCCGAAATCGCGAGGGCTTTTCCTCTTCCTGCCCCTCCCTCAAGACCGCTCCCGTGCTCGCTCCCTCCCCGGCGCCGCCTGCCTCTTCGCCGCCGCCTCCCATTCCCCTCCGGCCCGGCCCTCCCTCCTCTCGCCAGATCCGCCGCCGCCTCCCATTCCCCAACGCCGGGCCTCCCCTCCCCCTCCGCTGGTGCTCCAGCCAGTGCACCGGCGGCCGTCCCCTCCCCTCCTTCGGATCTCCAGCCAGGGCGCCGGCGGCCCTCCCCTCCCCCTCCGCCGGTACAGCAAGGTGATTAGGTGCTCCAGCAGTTGATTTTCACGGGTGGGACATTTTCCGTGAAGACGCTCAAGGGATCCAGCTTCCAGATTGAAGTGGAACCCACCGACAAGGTACTCATCGCTTGCGCTCCCGATCTGTTGCTATGGTTCTAGTTGCTGGATGTATTGGCGGGGCTGCTTCGCTAGATTTGGCTGCTTGTTAGGTTCGTTTGGGGTCTAGGTTTTGGTTGGTTCCCCTGCGGAGGCGACGAGAGTGTTGGAAGCCGCGAGCAAAGCTGCCGTGGATCCAATCTGTAGGTTGCTGCTTTGGTTCCGGTGGTGCGAGCGGAACAGACGGAACGGAGAGCTGTTGCTGAGTTCGCCTGAGGATTTTCTGGTTTCAGATTGGGTTCCTTCTAGTGATGTTATCGTGGATACAGGAGAACTGATAGCGGCTTGTTTCTAGGCAGCGTGATACCGCATTACCTCGCGGGCACGAGCATTGATTAGTTATTGCCGTTTCAGTTTAGGCTCAGGAGCCATTCTTGACTTGTCGATGTTAGATCGTATCAGTACAAGCTATTTTCTGCCGGTTTGTTTCTAGGCAGCTTCAGGATGTAATGCTGGATTTTCACCTATTTGGTAATGTGGTTGGAGTGGATCAAATAGGTGCATGCGATGGCTGCCATATGTGTGCTTCAGCTGATGGTGGTGCTTCGATGGATGATATGAATATGTGTGCTTTCCCTGATGCTATTGCTAATGCGTTGGTTGGGTGATTCATTGTTAGAAACTTGAGTATTTTGTAGCAATTACATTACCCAAATGGATGTTATTTTCAACTATTATTGTACATTGCAACTTAATGAAACCATATTGTTATCTCAAACTTTAAAAATATTCCCACCATTTCCTTCAGATCATTGTGACGAACCAAAAGAGGCATCATCTGCCTCAGGGGTATATAGGTCAATTTACATCTATAACAGATAATCTACCAGAAATAATCGGGACAGTCAAACGCCCAGCTTATTCAGACAGCAGATTCTCCAGATCGTGACTTATCAGATAAGCCTGCTCAGCTTATAAGCGAGACTCAGAAACGCTCTCCCAAACAGGGCCATACCCCATGCAAAAATCCTAGATCCGCCACTGCCTTTACTGGGTCTGCTCCTGCCCGAACTCTACCTTAACTTAAGTTGTTTGGCTATTCGTATCCGGATCTGATCTAATTACTACTGAAATGTATACATGTGATTTTTGGCAAATGTATACATGTGTTTATCCTACTAACTTCGATATTTTTTTACCAAAAAATATTGGCTATACATTTGTACACCCATGTACTAACTTTACTCAGTCTGCCTGTGAACCTGCAATGCAAACGCCCAGCTTATTCAGACAGCAGATTCTCCAGATCGTGACTTATCAGATAAGCCTGCTCAGCTTATAAGCGAGACTCAGAAACGCTCTCCCAAACAGGGCCATACCCCATGCAAAAATCCTAGATCCGCCACTGCCTTTACTGGGTCTGCTCCTGCCCGAACTCTACCTTAACTTAAGTTGTTTGGCTATTCGTATCCGGATCTGATCTAATTACTACTGAAATGTATACATGTGATTTTTGGCAAATGTATACATGTGTTTATCCTACTAACTTCGATATTTTTTTACCAAAAAATATTGGCTATACATTTGTACACCCATGTACTAACTTTACTCAGTCTGCCTGTGAACCTGCAATGCTCCTTGTCCAGCTTGCTACATCAACATGAGGCTCAACAAGGTGGAAGTGAACCTTATAAGGCTGCTGGAGGCCGCTCCCCGGCAGCAAAATCAGGCTAAACTAGTCTATGTATGTAAGAGTTGCTTATATGGATTTCTTAGATAGTTTGATTTCCATCCCGTGTAATTGATTTGACGGAAAAGAAGAAGTCGATGTAGCCTCATTCTGTTTCTTTTTATTAGTGATAGAGAACAATCTCAGGATGTTTTGTTTCAGTACAACACATGGTGTATGAATCTTCTATCACTTTGAATTTGAGTTCTATTTTACTAATTACTTACAGCCTCTGTTCCAGTGCAGTATGTAACCACAGCCCGGGAGCTTTTGGAGCAGCTAGGAGCTGAGACTACACCAGAAGGGATATCAAGGTGCATTATCAGCAATGTCATAGCATCGAAGTTTTTTTGGAATACTGATATACAGATATAGTGATTATTTGTGCGTCACCTAATGTTTCATAAGGTTCCGTAGTTTTAAGGAAAAAGGAAAATAATCTCATGCAAAAAAAAAAAAAAAACTGTTATACATAAATCTTAAAATCGATCTTGCCCATGCATCAGTATCACTATCCACCTTTTGCGTTTTGCATCAATGTAAAATCCTGAGAATACATTCTGATAAGCCTTTTGCATTTTGCTGCTATTTCAATTTGGCTGGCACTGACATTGTGTGTCAATATTTTGTTGTCTTCTATGACTTCACATTCTGATGAGTGACAAAATGACCCCAAAAAGACAAGAATGAGGATCGAGGGCCTTATTATCTTATCAAAATAGCCTTTTTTTTATACATAAGCGCTCCACAGAAAAATCATTCTTCTGCCATGAAAGGCCACATGGGTCGCCACTTGATAAATGCATGGTTTCTCATTCAGGTTTACTAAAATTCTGTTCCTGAAGTCAGGGTACTCTTTCTGTACTGCATCTCAAACCCTTGTATAAAAGGTTCATTTTATAAGTTCCTCCAATGTTTTCTTTGCTGGCCTTTGTTTTGATGATAACAGTTTCCGGGCTATTGCTTGGCCTTGTTTTATGAACAATCCTATGCCTGGTTCAGTGGTCTTAGTAATTGGTGTAGCAAAGCAAGCATTTACCTCAGTTAAACTTTCCAACTGCTGCTTCCTACATTTTTTGTGTGATCAGAAAAAACATGTTTCTGATGAATTTGTTCCCTTTTCAGCATTTCAAAAGCTAAGCTTTCTGAGTATTCAGAAAAGATTGAAGCACTAGCTTCCAGGCTTGCTGCTTCAGTGGTATGTTTCTATTGTATCGACTCATTTGTTTGAATTGTTTCCATTATCATGCTTAGTTTATTTGCTAGCTCTTCATAGAATTTAAAGCAATCACACCATATGATGTTAATTTTTTATCTGAACCTTTACCTCTTATACCTTTTAGATTGGATAAACTTCTTATTAGTTATTATTATATTCTTGGTTGTGCAGCCTGAAAATGAAAAGCAAATTATTGAAAGCAGAGATGAAATCTCTTATGAAGACGCAAAGCCAGAAAGTCCAATATCTTTATCATCAGGACTGCGAAGGAGATCAACGTAAGTTAAATTTGGTCATTTTTCCTGTTTTCCTTTCTTATGGTTACAGCTACGGAACCAACAGATGAAATTAAATAGAGCCCATGCCGAAGTTGGACCACACCATCAGGAAGGAAAAGGAGATATTGGAGCACCTATAAAATTGGATGCAGAAGCTCAGGCTCACATTGAGAAGCATAGGTATGCCATTTTTGTCTTAATCTGTGAGAAGATATCTCAGGCTCCAGCTCAATGCCCATGTTATTCTTATCCACAGTTTCTTCGTTGCACACGAGCAACCTATTTACTGGGTCCATTTGTTGTCTGGTGTCATTACTCACTAAAATTGTTGTGTTGGAAGCTATAACTTGTAAATTGTTGTGTTTGGAAGCTATAATTTGTGCATGCCTATTAGCTTCATTCTTGTTCTAATTGTTTGAAGATATGTGCATCAAATTTTTTTGTGTCATCAAATGAAGATTGTGCTCTTACTGTTACTTTCTTACCACACAGGAAGCTCCAAGAAGATTTGACTGATGAAATGGTCGAGTTAGCACAGCAACTGAAGGAACGTAGCCTAATGATGAACCAATCTGTGCAGGAGACAGAGAAGGTATTTTTCTTTCATCTAATCCTCGGATTTCTGTTGTGTTGACACAATGGTTTATGTGGATAAAGTTGTATTGATATTGCAATGATGAGCTCCTTCAGTTGCATGCTGTTGAGAATGTTACCTTACCTGCTGATGCAGATCCTTGATTCTACCGAGAGGGCCGTCGAGCAGAGCTTGGCAAGCACGGGCCACGCAACTTCGCGAGCTGCAGAGGTCTACTCACTAGCTTCCAAGACTACGTGCTTCCAGTGGCTTCTAATGTTTGTGATGACCTGCATGTTTGTAATGGTTGTTCTGCTCATAAGGATCACCTGAAGGACGAGGCTGTAGCAGGCACTCAAATATTCTATTCACCCTTGATTTTGTTTCATGGTAACTCTTTGTGGTCATGGTGTTTTCTCGACCAAGTGTCTCCAACCAAACAAGCCTGTAGTATGTGAAACTGGAAGACAGCTGCCTGTACAGAGGCTTGATGATTACTATTTTATTGGTCAGTCAGGCCTGAGTGACTCGGACTAATAATATGGAAATTATTATATTTCATGTGCCTGAATTTTTAAAAAATTTGAGGCAACAATCTCACGCAATTAACTAGTATATTTAAAAAGGCAACTCACATGACCCAATTTACATTTTTTTTATTATAGCCAAACAATAAGAAAAAATTATGTTGCCTGAACGACAACAAAAAATTAGACGCCTGAGATGTAGAAGTATAATAATATTAGGGGAATGAGCTGTGGCTTACTATTTTTGGTTTAGTTTACATTTAGCAACTGTGACCCGAAACTGTTTTTGGGGGATTTGGATAAGCTCGCCACTTTCCATGACCCAATTTTTCTCACGAAATTTGAATGTTCCTAGGAAAATAAGGCATGCTAATTCATGTCATACATGAAATAGCCTTGCAAAATTGGTAAAGTTAAAAAAAAATGAGAAGCGATCTGGGCATATTAGTTCTTACAAAATGAGTGTTTTTATGGCGCATCACCTTCGAGAGAAACTGACCATCAAAGTAGCTGTGTTAGTCTGCCTGGCTGCATGCACCTTGTCGCACATACGTAGTCCTAACGACACTCCACTTATGCTTCTTCATAGTCGGACGATCAACATTGATTAATTATAATAAAATAATAAGAGTTTCTACTAGCAAATAAGCACCAAAATAAGTTCATCAAAATTCAAACAATTTCGAGCTAGTCACCGTAAGATAGAGTATGATTTTAGAAAATATTGAAACTAGTTTTTGAGGTAAAATAAATTTTCTATGAATTTTCTAAGATTAGACTAGATTTTAGGATTTTTAATTTCATTATTGTCAATGTGAAAATATTTGAATAAATTTTGAAAACTTTTGTGTGATTTTTAGATATTTTTAAAAATATGTTTAGTCTAATTTACCTCCTGAACTTGTAGCTTAGTCTAGTTTACCCCTGTCGCGACACTACGTGAGCAAAACCACCAATAAAATCACTCAAGACGCAAAAACAAACAGTTTTAACAAATTTTTTTTTGAGCAACAGTTTGAACAATTGAGAAAGCTTAAAAGACTGGTTTTGTAGTTCAGAATTTTGGGTCAAGCTCGGGAGAGGCTTTTGATCCGTGGGCTGGCCCGTTAACCGAAATGAACAGCTCTCGCAACAAATCTGGTGACCAGTCCAGCAAAAAAGAAAAAGGCCCAATAGGCCACTCGGCCGCCAGTGGGGGCGCCAAAACGTTGACCTAATTTTGTATCCGGCTCCTCCGGCCTCGTCTCGACTCCGTGGGGGCGCAGCGTGCAAGGCGTAGACCGCAGTCTCCGACAAGCTTAGCAACCAGCGGCCACCGCCAAACGTAAGATGGCAGCGGAGGCCAAACCGGCTGCGGCCAGCGGGGTTGCCGGCGAGATGGAGGTGGAGGCGTACCGCCGCCTATTCCCGGTGGCCTTCCTGGAGCGCCACCTCGGCGAGTCCGTCCGCATCGATGCCCGCCGCCTCAGAGAAGCCCGCCCCACCACCGTCGCCCTCGGCGCCGTCTCCTCCGCGCATGGTTCTGCTCTCGTCCGCCTTGGCGACACCGTAATACGCCCCCACTTTCCTCCCCTTCTCTCTCCTATGTTTCCCGTCTTGCTTGTCTCGCGCTCTTTAACTGTTCGACGAATTGTCTTTGCAGGCCATGCTCGCGTCGGTCAAGCTCGAGGTGATGTCGCCCCCGGCTGAGCACCCAGACGAAGGATCCGTCGGTTCGTGTTCCATTTTCCCTGCTGCTTCCTATTGCCTTTGTTTTTTATTCTTTTGTTGATGTTGACGTATTTGTGTTTTGCGTAGCTGTTGAGTTCCACATGCCGCCCATCTGTTCCCCGCTGGTTAGGCCAGGCCGATCCGCTGAGGTTGCACCAGTCATCTCCAAGGCCCTTGAAGACGTTTTGATGAGGTTTTTGTTTCTCCATTAACTTCAGCTCTTTAATTGAATGATGAGTAGGTAAATGAATGCAGAATCGAATCCTTTCCATAGAAGAAGAGAGAGTTCATCAGGATAAAATTTAATCGATCTCTACCAAAAATCGTGACTGTTCACTATCACTATGGACTAGATGACTAGTTGTACTTAGTGCGGAGACTGGAGAGGACAGAAACTAATTATGTAGAACGCACTATGTAGTGATACACAGAGGAACATTACTGCTTCAGATCTATTTTCCATGGATCACAAACAGCGCCTAAATGGCCTTAATTCTTTGATTATTTGATAGCATGGTGGAAATACTGCAATGATTTCAGCATAAGCATCAGCATAAGCTAAATTTCAGCATCAGCGAACAGGGTGTTTGTCTTTAATAACGCTGCTCCAAGTGTGTCATTGGTGTTTCGGACAGTTGAGAAGGAGATAGCCATTTGGTTCAGCAATGGCTCGGGGCCTCCAGGATCTCATATAGTTTCAGTTTTTCTGGATTAGTGGTCGCTTGTTAGTCGTGTTCTTGGTATTTTTTGTGGTGTCTTTTCTGTTGTGAAGTAGTGGGGGCGTGGATTTTCGTTTGTGTTATCTGCGGTGGTGTGTGGGTTTTACATATGGTACTTATTCTTCTTAATGAAATGACACAGCTCCTTGTGTCGTTTGAGAATGCCTTTTTTTAAACCATGGACCATTTCCTGTAAATCAAAATAACAGCAGGGTTCCTTGAAATTTTCCTTCCGTTTACGCTTAATTTTCTCTTTTGAGTATGAAGTGACACATGCTCCACTTTTGGTACTAGTAGACATAACTACGGCTATAAAAAATAACAATCAAAGGTCAAGTGGAGACTGAAGTTAGAAATGTGTAGTGGAAAAGAATAGAGGGCGTAGAAGGCACTGGTTTGCTTTTTTTCAGGCACGCATGCAAATCCTGTACATTCTGTTTGTAGGCTTTTGTCTGTTGGATTTGGTATCATCATTGCATGATTTCACTACTTTGGCCATTTCTTTTCTGTAACACTCCCACAACCTAATGAATGGCACATAGTGATGGTAATTTTGTTCTGTCCTCTTATGCAGTTCTGGAATGCTAAATTTGAAGGACCTCTGTTTGATCACTGGGAAGGCTTCTTGGCTAGCATACCTGGTAATATATCTTGGTTCTCTCATTGATAGCTTCAGTGTGTCGACAAAAGGAAGTAAGGAACAGTACCTTTGACAATAAATCACTGTTAGTTATTATAAGGACTCCACTTTTTACTTCTACTGACAAATAACATAAGTTGAATAATATGAGAAAGGGAACCAAGGCTCCAAGCACCCAGGGGTTTTCATTGAGTCAAAACTAGTGTACCTTGAAAGATCAGGTGACTTGGAATAGCATGATTTGTAGTTGAGAATGACACCCTTACAATCAGGCTAGAATATCCTTTCCATATGATTTTTACACATCCTATACTGTCAGTGCTAGGATTCTAATGCCTTGTGATGTTTTGAAAATTTACGTAACACAGTGAAACTCATGCTTGTGACTTTCCTCAAGCCACTCTTGTTTAGTTGTGATCGATTTGTGATTATTTTCTTTATTTAGAAGTTAGCCCACCCTCATTTGATAAGTCTTTCCTCTACTCTTATCATTTCATGACTATCTTCCTAAACCTTCTTTGTATTACCATCTTACTATTTCTTCTGAATTTTTTTAGTCAAGTGCTAATGCTGTAATTTATGTTTTATGAATAGCACCCCCAAAATTTAAAATGATCCAAGCATTGGTTTTGAGAAGCACATTTGAAACCTATGCTCCTTAAGTTGTAGGCCTTTATGCCTTAGGGATTGGACAGGAACTAGACAAACTTTTTGTAACTTCTGATAACCAGGCAATGTGTAGCCTGGAATCACTGAATAACCCTCCAGCCCCACGTTGAGTTTAACAATTTCCTTCTTAAGCCCTTGTCCTCTCTCTGTAGGTTCACATGATAGTACCAAATAGGATGTTTCCTCAGCACTACATGTGCATATGTGATATGGGTACAGTTTTACACAATTGCATTCAAATCATGCAAAGTTGAATCTGTGATGCTTCAAAATTTTACCACCTGGAAAATACCATTCTAATAAGTAAAATAAGATAAATGCCAATCCAAAGTAGCTTCTTAGTCTACCACTCCAGAACTTCACAATTTGTTGCCATTTGTGCTTGTCCCTTTGTTTTTCTCAAACCGTCAGGAGAGCTGCCGATCATTATATAAAGAAGGAATAAAGGATAGGAATACAGAACCAAGTCCCAAAATAAAAGGAAAAAAGGGAAAAGGAAGATAAATCCGACCAACATGGTCAAAAGAGAATGTAGTCTGCTTTTCCCAAAACCTTGAACCCTAATACCTGCAACCGCAAAAGACCCAGATATTAACAAAGGATGGCACCTAGGTGCTGCCAGCTTCAGTGATGGGAGCAAAGTCTCAGGTTTACTTAAAGCTTCGTACCTTGCTATTACTTTAGGATTTCGAGTGGTCTTACTGATTGGCAGCAGCAGAGGGCAAAGAGGGGAAAGGAGGGATGCACAGTACTGGAGTGGAAAACTTTCAATAATGTTCAAGAGTGGCCAGTGCTTAAATAACCCTGTTTCGGCGTGTCCTTTCCATTTTAGATTGAAAAATTTTCAATTCTAATATTCTGAAAATAGGTCTAATTTTTCCTTATAAACAAGTTGATATGTTGTAGATCCTGAATAAGTTTTCATAAGAGCTTGTATTTTGATCTTTTCTGGATTTTGAACTTTTGCAGGATATCTATTGCCTGAATGCTGACGGGTCTCTGTTTGACGCTGCACTTATTTCAGCAGTGGCTGCCTTCACACATTGTACGTTCGTTTATTTTCACTGT